GAGGGAGAGAGAGAGAAAGAGAGAGAGGGAGAGAGAGAGAAAGAGAGAGAGAAAGAGAGAGAGGGAGTGAGAGAGAAAGAGAGAGAGGGAGAGAGGGAGACAGAGAGAGAGGGAGATAGAGAGAGAGGGAGATAGAGAGAGAGGGAGATAGAGAGAGAGGGAGATAGAGAGAGGGAGATAGAGAGAGAGGGAGATAGAGAGAGAGAGGGAGAGAGAGAGAGAGAGAGAGAGAGAGAGAGAGAGAGAGAGAGAGAGAGAGAGAGAGAGGGAGAGAGAGAGAAAGAGAGAGATTGAGAGATTGAGAGAGAGAGAGAGAAAGAGAAAGAGAGAAAGAAAGATAGAGATAGAGAGAGGGGGAGGGAGGGAGAGAGAGAGGGAAAGGAAAAGGGAAAGAGAAAAAGGGAAAGAAAGAGTGGGAGAAAGAGAAAGGAAGTAAAAAAAGAAAGAAAGAAAAAAGGATGAAAGGAAAAGGAGAGAGAGAAAGAGACAGAGAAAGAGGAGAGCTGGTACACGTAAACAGATTAACAGAATATGAAATCAGCGTCAGCAAAGGGCAAATTATCACCTTCGTTCTCGCGTATCAGACCGACCCCTTGGCGTAGCCGTTGAGACAGACACGGGCCAGATAAAGCGATCTCGCAATGCACAGGGGCGAGGGAACCACTATCCACATTCAGTCGCCGGCGCGGCCCTGGCGTTGTCCCGATAGGTGGTCCGTCGGTCAGTTCGTTGGGTTTTTTTGCCGAAGGAGCAGCGTCCTGGCGCCTCGCTCCCGCGCTCTTCCCTTCTGTCGGGTGTGTAGGGGGGGAAGGGGGTTTTATATATATATGTATATATATATATATATATATATATATATATATATATATATATATATATATATATATATATATATATATATATATATATATATATATATATATATCAGTGTGTGTGTGTGTGTGTGTGTGTGTGTGTGTGTGTGTGTGTGTGTATCTCTGTCTGTCTGCGTGCTATTTTCGCTATAAATGGTGCATGGCTGATGTCAAAGAGGCCAGGCCGTGAAATGAAGTCCTTGAACTCGCCAGCTTCATGGAGACACGAGGTTGTGTTTTTATCTTTGTCCCGTGCGCTTGAGAAACCGTGCTTGCCTCCGGGATTATAGGATTGTCTTTTTTTCTCTTAGAAAGTCGGATTGCTTAAAAGATTACGAAGATAAAAGCGCAACTGATATGAACGCTTTCTTGCATAATCTGGCTGTTGTGATTTGCAGGAAAAAACATGATGTGAAATATTCGAGTAATAAAACCAGATAAAACGAGACTGGTTAATTAGTTTGAATTTGAGTGTTGAGTGTGGAACAAGAAGTAGAAGAGACAGAGATAAAAAAAAAAAAAATTATATAAGATTTGGTTTGAATGAGACGAATTTTTGGTAATTGATGTACGTATTTTTAATAGAACTGTATTTGTTGTTTATGTGTATTCTGTTTGTTTTCCGTGTGTGTTTTGCTTGTATTTCTTGGTACATTAGTGAGTATAATGTGTGTGTGTGCATGCATGTGTGTGATGTGTTTATTTTTCTCTGTTTAATTCCGTGTGTATAGTGTGTTTTGTTAGTTCCCGTGCCTCTGTTTGTATGTTTTTGTTTACTTACAAGTGTGCAGCGCCCCATTGTGTTCCAGCCAAGGTCAGAGAAGCTACAGGGCATTTTTAAAGAGATTTTCGCAGCAGCTTAACGCCATCTTTTGACGTTAAGGCCAAGTGCTCGCAACTTGACCACCACGCTAATAGGTTTGTGGTTTTGCCCGGCTTGCTTCTTTTTACTTTTTTGTTTCTTTATTCTTTCTTTGCATTTAAGAGAAAAGTCTGGACGCTTTGCAGAAACACGCTCTCAGTTTAGTATCTCGAGTGGGTCTGGTGCGGAGAACCCCCCCCCCTCCCCCGACTGATAAATTGATGACTTTGGTCCTCTGTCGTCACCTCGGACATCGACGAACTGAAGTGTCAAGAACTTGCTTTTTTATGAGGTCAAGCAATTTTAGTCCTTCTGTCGCTGTGCCAAAGGTAACAGTCACCCGATGGTCTACCCTTGTGTTCTCGCATCGGCCCGTCTTCATCAGGCGTTAAAAAAAACACTAGATAACATTTATTTTTTCTTTCTCTCGTCACAAGCGTACTCATTTGGGGTCGTGGGGATCGCCATCATGAAAGAGAAGGACGAAGGGGAAAGGAAGGAAAGGGGAAGAAGAATAACGAAGTGAGTTAGGGTTTAGCGTGTGATTATGTTACTCGAGTCCCGTTATTAGCTTGGAATACGTGTCTGTTCCTCAGTTCATTGTCGTCTGTCGTGGAGGTGTTATTCAAAGGTGTTATCGCTCGCCGGGCTCACCACACGTTATCTTTTGCTGTGATTACTGATACGAAAGCATCTCTCCTCGCTCGTAAAGTATACAGGACAATGTGTACTTTATATTCATTAGCATAGTTATGATTTATTGTGTAGCTAGTCTAATATATACCATGATTTACTGAGATGTTTATATATATATATATATATATATATATATATATATATATATATATATATATATATATATATATGTATATATGTATCAGTGTGTGTGTGTGTGTGTGTGTGTGTGTGTGTGTGTGTGTGTGTGTGTGTGTGTGTGTGTGTGTGTGTGTGTGTGTGTGTGTGTGATATTTAGCTGTTCTCGTACGTGCCACGGTTATTAATATACATCACTGATATATATCCTATTTGTACTTTTTTCGTACAGTGTCCTTCTTTCCTCGGTCCTCGTATAATTGCTTTGCGGGGTTTTCCTCAGAAGCTTCAATTAAAAAAAGGAAGGAAAAACGAACGAGATTGCTGGAGATAAGTGACCGATGGCGGTGACCGGGCTGACCAGCGGGCGGCGGGCTTTCCATTGGTTATCATTTTATTAATAACTATAATAATGCTTGGTGCTGATGGTGTGCAGCTTTTGGCTAGTAGTGATATGGTACTCAATTTTATGTGGATGACTACTATTGTTGACAAGGAATAGGAATATATCCCCCCCCGCCCCCTCCTCTCATGGACCCTATAATTTCCATGGAACAGAAGCTTGTAAGTCGGTGCACAGGCAAGCATGAGACGGTTTGCGAAGCGTAGAATTGATCCTTTTTTCGTTTTTTTTTTCTTTTCTTTTTGCGCTTTTTCTCTTTTCTTTTTTCTTTTTATTCTTTTGTTTTTTCTTTTCTTTTCTTTTTATTTCCTTTCTTTTATTTTCTGTTTCTTTTTTTCTTTTTCTCTTTTCTTTCTTTTTCTTTCCTTTCTTTTATTTTCTGTTTCTTTTTCTCTTTTTCTCTTTTCTTTCTTTCTTTTTCTTTTCTTTCTTTTCTTTTCTTTTCTTATCTTTTCTTTCAGATAATTTCGTTTTGTAGCTAATGTCGATGACACCGGGGAAGGAGCAAACGTTATCGACTCTTTTGGAAAACACATTAGCGATAAAATGAAGATATTCTGATGATTTTCTCGTGCAGCAGCAGGAATAATTGCCCTGAAAAAAAAGATGCTGTAAAACTAAATATTCTTAGGAACTGACCCATTTGAAGGAGATCCGGTCTCTGTGATTAATGGAGGTGAGGGAAGAGAGGTTATAAAGACAGCAGGGGATGTTAACAGAAATAGAGGGAGAGGGAGAGGGAGAGAGGGAGAGATAGAGAGAGAAAGAAAGAGAGAGAGAGAAAGAGAGAAAGAGAGAAAGAGGGAGGGAGAGAGAGGGAGAGAGAGAAAGAAAGAGAAAGAAAGAGAAAGAAAGAGAGAGAGAGATAGATAGAGAGAGAGAGAGAGAGAGAGAGAGAGAGAGAGAGAGAGAGAGAGAGAGAGAGAGAGAGAGAGAGAGAGAGAGAGAGAGAGAGAGAGGTGAACGAATAAGAACAAGAGATAATCGTCTTCAAATAAGGTAACAGAAGAAAAGGGTTTTCTTCCCCGTGTTCCTTGTCGCCGCGCGGTTCTGTGCTCAAACGCATGCCAGAAACGACATTAGGAGGCTTTTCAAGCACTTTACGTTTGATGACGCAAAGCTCTGTCAGTTATAATTAGCCTGTTCTGTTTTTTATCGGGTGAGAGACTTCAGTTTTAATTCATACGCACAAATTCACGTGACATTTTCATTTGTGCTTCAACAAGAACACACGACGCACACCACAGCTTTGCTCGACTCGCATTGCTCTGTCTGCCTGTCTTTCTGACAATCGATCTGTCTGCTTGAGGGTTTGTCTGGTTGTCTGCCCCGTCTCCCTGCCTGCCTGTCTGTCTGTCTGTCCGTTTGTCTGTATGACTGTCGATCTGTCTGTCTATCTGCCTGCCTGTCTGTCTGTCTGTCCGTCTAATGGTCTAATTCTCTCTCTCTCTCTCTCTCTTCTCTCTCTCTCTCTCTCTCTCTCTCTCTCTCTCTCTCTCTCTCTCTCTCTCTCTCTCTCTCTCTCTCTCTCTCTCTCTCTTCTCCCTCACTCACTCATTCTCTCTACTCCCTCCCTCCCTTCCTCCCTCCTCTTCTTCCTCTCCCCCTCCTCCTCCTCTCTCTCTTCTCCTCTCCTCTCCTCTCCTCTCCTCTTCTCTCCTCTCCTCTCCTCTCCTCTCCTCTTCTCTCCTCTCCTCTCCTCTTCTCTCCTCTCCTTTCTTCTTCTCTCCTCTCCTCTTCTCTTCTCTCCTCTCCTCTCCTCTCATCTCCTCTCCTCTCCTCTCCTCTCCTTTCCTCTCCTTCTCCTCTCCTTTCTTCTCCTCTCCTCTCCTCTCCTCTCCTCTCCTCTCCTCTCCTCTCCTCTGCCTCTCCCACCCCCCCCTCTCCCCTTCCCCTTTCCAAGTCTGTGTCTCCCCCTTTTCCTCTTGCTCTGCCTTTCTGTCTTTGTCAGTGTCTTTATTTCTTGTACTGTCTTTTGCTCAGTCACAGTGCAAATTGACCATTTTTTTTATCATTGTTAAGAAAAGAAAATTGATATTAATGACCTTTGTAACATTTTTCCTTCAAG